CTCCTCCTCCTCTGGGCTTTCCCAAGAGGGAGTCTTCCCTAGGGTAGCCTGTATACTTCTCAAACTAAGGGTGTGTGGAAGGGGATTACAGACTGTATTTTAGTCACAAACCACATTTTAATGGAGTTACAACTAACCTGCTTTAAAAAGTTCTCTTCATTTACATTTCTTTCCTATAGTAATTGCTCCTCTCTTTTCCTTTTTTTTTTTTTAAAGGATGACCTAATTTTCACGAATTCACCAAAATTTTATTTGTGTCTACCATTTAGAGACTATTTGGTGAAGGACTTAAATTTTTGTCAGGTTTCCTGCCAATAGATAGTTCATAGTCTTGTGGCAACTTTAATGGTGAACATATTGTATTTAAACAGGACATAGTTAAATAATGATTAGTATTTAAAAAGTGTTATTGTTTATTTAATCTTTGGCTCCTAATTTTGGCTTTGATAAGTACTATTTTATTTCTTAGGGGTATTTTATTTAACATGTAAGTGGGGTGAATCAGGTTTTATAATTTGAGATAAGTAAAGGCTGATTGAGTAAAGGAAGGTATTATATGGCTTAGTTTCATTTATTCTAGCAGGACTAGAGGTTCTGAGGCTCATGACCTGCCAGTTTCCACCCTGTCTTTGATGGGGGTAAAAACAGTTAACTCAGGCCTTTCCAGAGCTAACAGAAATAATTCTATGAGGAATGGATTGCAGGGAAGTTGGTGTCATTCAGAAATAATGTTTAAATTACTTCATATACATCAAGCTTTCACAGAATAGATAACACCTCATTTTGTGACCTTTGTATGTAGGCTACAGAAGTTAACAAAGGAAAAAAAAGACCACTGGAGAAAGATGGGCCTGTTAAAAAGAAAGCAAAGAAAGTCCAAGAAAAGGAAGAAAGAAATGACTTGGTAATGCCTGGTAACCCTGGTGAGTCTGGGCAATGATTCTTCTCAGCAGTCATGGCTCTGATATTCTTGAGTTTTTCTGGACGGCAGAGAAAGCTCTTGGAGGGTTGAACCTTTGTTCTTTTTGGACAATGATCACTATTGTGCTTGAGTTTGTGGAGATATGTATAGGAGGTGAGGGGGACGGTGGAGGAGCTGGAGTTCTGCAATTTGGCTATAGTTCTCCCAACTTTCTCTTTTTTTCTACTCTAACCATTTTTGTCATGTTTTTAAAAATGAGATATTCTTGTTATAAAAATTTCAAACAGTACAGAAATTTGGATGGTAGACAGTGAAAGACCTTCCCTTTCAGTGAGGTCTACTGCTCATTGTTTGGGTACTGTGTGTTGTTCCAGATTTTTCTATATTTACGCACACATATGTGTGCACAACATAGACCCACAAATTAGTTAATTAGTAATAATTTCATAGTTTACATATTATATTATTAACAAGAAATGTTAATTAAACAAAACAAAACAGCATTGCTGAGCTTCTGGACTTCCAGAGGTGATTTTGGGTGTAGATGATTGAGTGAGCAGATTTTTTCTAGTTTTTGGCTCCAGAGATTTTGTGATAAGAAGAGACAGGAAATCCATCTTTATTTGTAATTCCCAGAACATAAAACAAACAAATTAACAAAAAGTCCCATTTCATTGAAGATAACTTGTCTATACCGCTAGAGATAATAAGTCGGATACTTATTTTTCCATATAAATGGTAAAACTTGGATTTAGGGCCAACATGAATAAGAACTAACTACAAAAATGGAGATGTATGACTAATGAGAAAAATATATCTGATAACATCTGATAATACCATAGTCCTTTTCTTTTCTGGAGGGGGCTCGAAAGAGGCATGACTTGACAGATTTGCCACTGGTTAATTTTGCATTTTCTGGGGCTCTTTGCCTTTTTTCTTTTTGTTTCATATGCTCTATATAGACCTGATTGTTCAATTTTTCAGTAAATTCTATTAGCAGTGAGTGCTCTTTTTTTAAAGTCTGCTTTTATTCGAAAGCTTCTTGTAGCTCATTTATTCTTCCTAAAAACCTTGTTTTATTTTCTTTTATAGAGGAAAAGGTAGATGACAGGTGAGGAGAATTGAGGGCTGCCATAGTTAAGTGGCTTAACGGGGGCCACACAGGAAGGTTGAGATTGGAAATTGTTGAAATTAAAATGCTTGTCATTTGTAAATTCAGGGTTACCGGGGTTGTGACTCAGTGGTAGAGCGCTTGCCTAGCATGTGTGAGACACTGGGTTCAATCCCCAGCACCATGTAAAAATAAACAAAAAAAGAAAAAAGATATTGTCTCCATCTATAACTAAAAAAATATTTTTAAAAATTGGCATTCAGAAGGTGGGTATCTGTTCTGTCCCAGGGTGGTCGTCATCATCGTAGTCTTCTCCTCCTCCTCCTCCTTCTCCTCCACGATCATTAAAATACAGTTCTCATACCATATAGTTCACCAATTTAATTACTTTTAAGTTGTTCCAAGATTTGTGCAAACATTATCAAAGTCAATTTTAGGGCCTTGGGATGTGACCAGTGGTAGAGAGTACTTGTGTAGCATGCATAAGGCCCTGGGTTTGATCCCTAGCACTGGGGCTGAAGGCTGTGGCAGGGAGTCAATTTTAGAACATTTTCATCATCCCAAAAGAAGACCTATACCCAGTCGCAGCTACCTTCTTTTCCTTGTAACACTCTCCAGCCCTAGGCAACCACTAATCTACTTTCTGCTGTAGATTTGTCTATTGAAATAATTTCATATAAATGGAATCATACATTTGTGGCTTGTTGTATATGGTTTATTTTCTTTAGTATCATATTTTCAAGGTTCATCTGTGTGGTAGCAGTACTTCATTCCTTTTTTAAAATTCATTTTTTTTTAAGTTGTAATAGACATAAAATTCACCATCAACCATTTCTAAGTGTGCAGTTTAGTGGTATTTAGTACAATTATATTGTTCTATCATCCCTACTATTCATCTCCAGAACTCTTTTTTCCTTTTGCATTTCTAAAACTCTACCCATTGAATAATAACTCCCATTCTCCCACCTCCAGTTCTGGCAGCTACCATTCTGCCACAACCTGCCAAGCATCAACAAAGGATCTTGAGTAGGGGTGACTAGAGATGGAGAAAAACACAAAGAAAAAGAAAACATTTTTAAGCAAAGCTTAAGGCCAGGTGGGACACTGCCCTCTAATGGAGGAACAGTGACCTGGAACTAGCTCTGCAAATTTATTATATAGGGTCTCATAATCAGGAAGTTAAACTATAGGGGCATTGTAAATTGTTCAAGGCTTCTGAGTTATCAAGAGGCTTCTTTGTGCACTAAAAAGTTACAGAGATAGAAACATTTTTATGACTATCCTGCTGCACCCAGGAAGCCCACTGTACTGGAACATCTCATAACTGTTAGCATCAGAGCCAAGTGTCAAGGCTGTTAACCTCTTTGCTTTTTGGCAAGAAATGTTTCCCAGGCTTGGCTTTTTCCAACACTGCAGGATCAGCCAATGACTATGGGTTCATCTGCTCTCCACACCATTCTACTTTCTGCCTCTATAATTTCGACTGCTCTAAACTACATTCATTCTTTTTATTTCTAGGTAATATGCAACTGTTTAGATTCATCTCATTTCTTTTTATTTTTTATTTGTTCTTTTTAGATATTCATGACAGTAGAGTATATTTTGACATATTATACATACATGGAGTATAACTTTCCATTCTGTGGTTGTACATGATGTGGAATTACACTGGTCATGTATTCATATATGAACATAGGAAAGTTATGTCTCATTAATTCTACTGTGATTCTTATTCCCATCCCCCCTCCATTCCTCCATTCCCTTCATTCCTCTTTGTTTAATCCAGTGAACTTCTATTCTCCCTCCCCTTTTGTGTGTTAGCATCTGCATATCAGAGAGAACATTTGGCCCTTGGTTTTTAGGGATTGGCTTATATCAGATAGCATGATAGTCTCCAGTTTCATCCATTTACCAGCAAATGCCATAATTTTATTCTTTATGGCTAAGTAATATTCCATGTGTATAGATACCATATTTTCTTTGTCCATTCATCCGTTGAAGGGCATCTAGTTTGGTTCCATAGCTTAGCTATTGTGAGTTGAGCTGCTATAAACATTGATGTGGCCTCATCACTATAGTATGCTGATTTTAAGTTTTTTGGCTATATGCCAAGGAGTGGGATAACTGGGTCAAATGGTGGTTCCATTCCAAGTTTTCTGAGGACTCTCCATTACTGCTTTCCAAAGTGGTTGTACCAATTTGCAGTCCTACCAGCAATGTATGCGTGTACCTTTTTGGCCACATCCTTGCCAACATTTATTGTTACTTGTATTCTTTATAATTGCCGTTCTGACTGAAGTGAGATAAAATCTCAATGTAGTTTTAATTTGCATTTCTATAATTGCTAGGGATGTTGAATATTTTTTATATCCGCCTCATTTCTCAATTTTTCAATTTACAAGGTTTTTTTTTTTTTTTTTTTGGTGCTGGAGATGGAACCTATGGCCTCATGCATGTTAAATCACATTCTTTACCACTGAGCCACATATCCAGTTTTTACAATTTTTTTTTTTTTTTTTTTTTTTTTTTTTTTAATCTGGTTTCCACAGGAGAGGAAAACTTTGTATTCACAAGGAAACTTACATGCTTTTGAAAAGTGATTTTAGAATGTATTTTGGAAATCATGGAAATAATCAAAGGTAAAACATACCTTGGAAAATATACTAAAAAATATGCTTTTAAAATAAGAGAAATCATAGTAAACAAGGTAAAGTATATATTAAATAATTCATGTATTTAGAAGAAAGAGAGTCATCATGTCCAAGGATTTTTGATTTTTGGCATGTGACAATCTAGGTTTTTTTGGTTTGTTCATTTGTTTTGTTTTAATTATAGAGGGCCAATTTTCCTGTCCATTTTCTCTTGGCTAGGATTTTCTCATCATTATAGATTTCCACAGATTAGATTTTGTTGGGCCTTAGACCACTTTGAATTGATTTTTATCCTGCTTGAAGCTCATTTAAAGCTTCTTGGGTCTATGGGTTTAAAGCTGTCATCAAATTTGGAAAGCTCTTTTAGGCATTATTTTCTCAACTGCTTTTTTTCTATTTCCTTCCTCTCTATTCTTCTCAAAGTTTATTTCAGGGATGTTGAACTACTTGACATTGTCCCTGAAATCACTGAAGCTTTGTTTTCAGGTCTTATTTCTCCTCGTGTTTCATTTTGGATAGAATGCTTTCAAATTCAATGATCTTTTTTTCTGTAGCATCTAATCTTCTATAAAGCACTTTCAGTGAAATTTTTGTTTTAGATATTTTATTTTTTTTAAAAAATATTTATTCTTTAGTTTTCGGTGGACACAACATCTTTGTTTGTATGTGGTGCAAACAAACATACAAACAACATGCGTGCGAACCCGGGCCGCACGCATGCCAGGCGAGCATACTACCGCTTGAGCCACAGCCCTGTTTTAGATATTTTAGATGTTATCTCTGAAGTTCCTTTTTTTAAAAATAATATCTTCAATTTCTCTGTGTGAATTATATCTCAGTAAAACTATTAATAGAAAAAAAAGTATCCTTTTACCCCTCTTTTTGCTTATGTTTTTCTTTGCCTTCTCGTTATGTGGAGTGTATTTATAAAACATGTCTGTATATATTAATTTCATCATATCTGTCCTCTCTGGATCTGCATCATTGAACTGATTTTTGATACTTTTCACATGTCCAGGAATTGATTGGATCGTGGCTGTTTTGAATTCTTTATTATTTTCTACTGGATTTTGTACTTCTTTAGAGTGTTGTACTTTATTCTTGCAATTAGTTAACTTCCTCATGGGTCATTTTGATTGTTTTTAAATTTTGTCAGAGTATGTCTAGCACTAGGTGAGCCTGTCCCTAAAGCTTCACCTTTCTTGAATCAGAAGGGTTGCAAAGTAGCAGCAACATACCATAATGCGTATTTCCACCATACAGAGATAAAAGATACTAATAACGTTAAGACATAAGTAAAAATAAAATGTAATAAATCTTTTAGGAAGTGATGAAATTTGAGTTTTACTCAATCACAAACATACACCATGCAGTAGAGCCTTAGTACTTCACTTCTGTTTTCAACACTTCAGCTAAAGATCCGTCTTTTGTTTTGCTTTGTGTTTTAAAAAACTACAACCCCAAGATTTTCACTGACCTACATTCTGGGAAAGTTTCTTTTTTTTTTTTTTAAAACTACAGGAGGGAAATCTGTGTACACACTTAAA